TCTTCTCTTCTCTTCTCTTCTCTTCTCTTCTCTTCTCCTCTCTTCTCCTCTCCTCTCCTCTCCTCTCCTCTCCTCTCCTCCTTCTCTGCTCTTCATCTCTCTCTTCCTTCCCCTTCCTTTCAGACACACCCAGAGCTGCATGACTCTCCTCTCACATTCACTTTCAGACAGGACAGGCTTCCCACTGAAAAATCCTACCTTTTTTGCTTCATCTTTTGCAGCAATTCCCTTCTGGCACTGCCTGACCCACCCCATGGCTCTTCCTGAGCCAGGTGGGCTCAGGATTGTTGCCTTCCCTCCCTCACCCTGGACAATCCAGTGGGACGTGGGATCAGGTGGCTGAGATGGAACCTCCTTTCTTTGCCACCAACCTCAGCACTGAATTCTCACAGTGCCCTGATGCTTCACCCTGACTTTTTAACACCCAGGAGGTCACACAATCAAGCCCTGAACCCTGGAAGCACAAGTTGTGCCCTTCTGGAAACGTGCAGAGTCCACACTGCACATAACCAAAAATAATGTAGGAAAGGGCAGGTTTTTTGCCACTTCCTTGGGGTTAATACTTGGCTGAGAACTTCCTCTCCCCTTCTCCTTTCAGACTTCCCTCTGGTCCTGCTGAGGAACCTGCGTCACCCCGTGTACCTGCTGGTGGTGCTGGCTCAGGTCAACCTCTCTGCCATGGTTGCTGGTTTAGCAACGTTCATGGGCAAGTTCCTGGAGAGACAATTCTCCCTCACGGCGTCCTTGGCCAACATGATCATTGGTGAGTGTTGCTGTCAAGCCTTGCCAGCTGTTGAGCACCTCTTAGGGACCCACCTGGGGCTGCTGGGCTCCTCCTCTTACCTGCAGACACACCTGGCACAAGGTTCTTGGAACCTTGAGGTTCCTCAGCTGCTGTTTCATTGCCTTCCTTTCCATTGCATCCTGAGCTGATGGAATCACAGAGTCATGGAATGGTTTGAGTTGGAAGGGGCCTTAAAGATCATCTAGATCCAACCCCCCTGCATGGGCAGGGACACCTCCCAGCAGCCCAGGCTGCTCCAAGCCCCATCCAACCTGCCCTTCAACACCCCCAGGGATGGGGCAGCCACAGCTTCCCTGGGCAACCTGGGCCAGGCTCTCCCCACCCTCACAGCCCAGAATTTCTCCCTCCCATCTCAGCTCCAGCTCCCTCTGCCAGCTGGAAACCCTTCCCCCTGCTCCCATCCCTCCCTGCCCTTGTCCCAAGCCCCTCCCCAGCTTTCCTGGAGCCCCTTCAGGCACTGGAAGCTGCTCTAAGGTCTCCCTGGAGCCTTCTCTTCTCCAGGCTGAACACCCCAACTCTCCCAGCCTGGCTCCAGAGCAGAGCTGCTCCAGCCCTCTCATCATCTTTATGGCTTCCTCTGGCCTCATTCCAACAGTCTTTTTTTCTTCTTCCAGTCCCTCCTTTGGCAACATCCAGTGACAGAGCAGTAAGAAGCAGCTGCCTTTTCCTGCTGCCCAAGAGTGGGAGATGAGGCTGGGCAGACTCACAACAAAGCCTCAGCAAGGCTGTCACCTCCTTTCTTCACTCTCCTCCCTAATTATTCTGTCCCCTTACATGGTAACAGGGG